TTTTTCTTCTTTTTTTTTTAAAAAAAGCTCGTATCAATGGCTCGTTTATGAGATGACTTGGAGCCAGAAACTTCTCATTGGGATGGGGTGGACCATTCATTGGTAGGCTGACTCGTTTTTGGGTTTATTTAATTCTGAGCTTGTTATGTACTAAAACAATCTGAAATTTCAGCCCATTAACAGTACATGGGCTTTTATCCTTTCAACGTACTGAGTTTGAGAGCTCTTGTGAACATTATTGCAACGTAATATATCTGGACTTGAGCCAACCTGGCTCAACTAGCTATAAAGAATGAGTTTTTTGGGTGCTCTCGGGAAAATGTTTACCTTTTTGAAAACGGAATGCTTTACAGGATGATTGAATTTCATAAACTGTACCCAAAAAATAATAATAATAATAATCAGAAAAATATTTTCTTGCAAAAAAAAAAAAAAAAAACCTAAAGGCTCTTGCTGCCTGAACACTCTCACTGCTTGCTGAAGGCAGATGGTTGTGAAATTTATTAAGTAGAGACGAACTCTGAAAACTGGCTGTCAGCTGATACGTCGCCCTCAGGCCATCCATTGCTTCTCAATATATGGGTGATTCTTTAAAGGAGTCGCCTGTCGCCACGTACATTTTTCCTTGTTTCTTTCCAGTCACGTAGTGCTTAATTAGCTTCACTTGCAAATTGCAATCTTTAATAAATTGTGATGTGCTGAAGTGAATGCACAAGATTATATACAAATCAGCTGAGGGTGTGGGTGACCATAAGCACAAACAAAAGGGTCTTGAAAAGATTAAAATACTTTGGTCAGAAACAAAGGAAAGCTATCACGAATTTCTCTTAAATTTTTTAATTAAATCCACTAACATTTTGAAGATGTTATGGTTTTATTGTATACTCTCTAGCATATTCCTCAAGTTAATAAAGCTATTGAGACTTGAAATTTGTACAAATTCACCCTACATTAATGCATTAATGCTATATCTAACATAAATCAAGTGACAAAGTACTTGCAACTGAACCTAGCTGATAGGTTCCAATTTCATTTTTGCCAAATGAATAAGAATTTTTCTTTCCCTTGATTCTCATTTATTTGGTCACTTTGTTATATATTTATCAGGAATCTATTCATCCCCATCCAAAGAAATTGGACCGAGGTTTCGGTTGTGTGTGGGAAAGGGGCAGCTGGCTGTGAAACCTAAACACAAGCCGAACCAAACGGGTGAAATGATTAAGAAATTCAAGGAAAAAGAAAAAAACATGGGACCAGTGAGGCATATAGGACGTACGTAGTAGCTAATAATAGAGAATTTTCTCCGAAATAAAAGAAGAAAACAAATAGAATCCAAATCCGAGACGTGCAAATGATGGGCGTTGATCAAGTTCTTGTCGGTTACGAGTAGTGCCTTCCAGAGTTAAACTCTCTTTTTATTGTCGAGCATCGATCTGCATATATGGTTCAAAACATTTAAGACGTCAAACATGACTTATACACCATTGTCAAAAGGTGACAAGGACCACATGCTCATTCTATATCATCCATAAGCTAAAAACCCTTTGCCGACGCTCTCCTGACAAAGACTTTTCACATCGAGCATTCAGTTTTTTTTTTATTTTTTTTATTTTTTTTATTTTCAGTTAATTCAGTAAAAAATATAACCAAATTTAAATTGAATTTGTGCTTTTGTTTTTGTTTTTGTTTTTCTGTTTAGTTTTGATTTTTTTTCTCAAAACACCGAATTTTTTCTTTTCTTTTTGCTGATTCTTTTTTGATTATTTAAAAAAATATAAATAGTTCAAAAAAATTATGCTACTAACAATGGAGTCATTCTTTTAGTCCAAATAATCTAAATTAACCTATATGAAAGACTATAAATATTTATTTAAATATGACTAAAGCATAAAATTTAACCATATAATAAGTCTTTAAAATTTAAATATAAGTTTATTAATCCATATTTAAAATATATAATGATAAAAAAATTTTATTGATCAAATATATTGTAAATCAAATTATCAAAATTCAAATAATATGTATATATATACACTAAAAAAAATTATATAATACGAAAACCGAATTAAAAATTTTAAAAAGCTAAATTAAGATTGAATAATCAAAATTAATTAGGTTTTGATATTTTCAATGGATTTTATTAAAAACCAAATTAAGTTACCATTTATATTTTTATTCGATTCGATTAATCGATTTTAATTGAATGCGACCATAAAGTAGCATGATAAATAAACTGGGTCAACGCCGCAGCCAAGCAAGCTGCCACCATTGAATGAAGCAAGTTATGTTGCCATCTGGAATTCAGTCATCCCTCCATACATGGCTCCAACGGACTAATTAAGGTGCACCCTATCACACCAACAATCATAAATATCTTTCTGCCTAACAGTATGGATCTTTTTGGGCACTCTCCGTTTCCCTTCTCTCTCTCTCTCTCTCTCTCTCTTTTTTTTTTCCTATTCTTCTTGCGATATTTTCAGGGACAATGCCAATAAATAAAGGTGTGCAAATGATTCGATTAATCGAAAATTGAATAAAATCGAACCGAATTATGAAATTGGGTTCGGTTTTAAATATAAAATTATACAATATAAAACCGAATCGAAAAAATCAAAATTATTTCGGTTCGGTTCGGTTTTTAGAAAAAAATTTCGGTTTCGATCGAAAATGAAATAAATAGTAAAAAATTTCCTAATTTCTAAATCCCTAACTTTTCAATCTTCATTCTTGTTGAAACCGAAACACGCAGATGGAAGTAAATTTTGAGGACGTTGGGGTAAGAAAAGAAAGTGACAGAGTGTAATTAATTGGGATACAATGTGTTTGAATGAACAAATTTATTACACTTGGACTCGTTTTCATTAAAGCTTAGTTAAAATCTTCAAGGGCTTTGTGATTGTTTATAAAAAGGATTAATTGATAACAAGATGTTACTTCATTGGCTAGTGGACTAAGTGCTAATATAAAACATCTCTCCGTAATAATTTTTTTTTTACAGTAAAATATTTTGGTTAAAACCGAAATATTTTGAAACCAAACCGAAGTAATTTGGTTACAAACCGAATTTACCGAATTTATTTCGGTTCGGTTCGGTTTTTATTTTTTTAATTCGATTAACTAAAAACCGAATCGAATCGTATAAAACCGAACCGTTTAACCGAATGCTCACCCTCGCTAATAAGTGCTCAAGGAGTAGAAAATACTACTTGATTTATTCATGTCTTAAAAACTTAATTTTGAACGAAACGTAATTGTTGAAATTCAAAATCCCAATTCTATATAAATTAAATATCTAGCTGTCATAAAAATTAAATTACTCCTTGTTCATGGATTATGGACTTTTTTTTTTTTTTTGGTTGATGCAGATGACTCGATATTAATTCAAATTTTAAATTTCAAAACTGAATAATTTATCGATTACCTTATAACTTGAACACAATTTATAAAGAAAACCCTATTTTAGTCTAATTTTAGGCTCTGGATAATTTGAACTAATTTTGTCTCAATGAAAAACGTTAATGATTAGGTTGATATAAGGACTCCAGAAATAAAAACAATAACATAAATAATTACACTTTTGGAGACATAATGGTCCCTCAATTCTTGATTTGAAATTACAAACATACCTAGGATAAATTGAATAAGCATATGTTCCAAAAATTATAACCGAACTTAAACTGAATTTACGTTTGGTTTTTTTTATTTTAGTTTTGATTTTTAATCAAAACGCCTGATTTTTTTGCTAATATTTAAAATAATATAAAGAGTAAAAAAAATTATATTATGAATAATTTATTGAAATAAAACTAAAGTGCAAAACCATATTATATAATAAGATATCAAAATTTAATTACAAATTCATTAATTCGCGTTCAAAATATCCAATGATAAAAAATTATTGGCTGATAAATATATTGTAAATTGAACTATCAAAATTCAAATAACAACAAAAATGCATATATATATATATATAAAATTAGGTTTTCATAATTAAAGATTTTAAAAATAAAACTTAAACCTAATAACCAAAATTAATTTGATTTTGATTTTTTAATAATTAAATCTAATTAAAAAAACCAAATTAATATTTAAATTTTGATTCAGTTTGATTAATCAGTTTAACCGAGTATTGCTTTTCCTAAACTAGCACGAGTAATGAACTGGGTCTAAACCATAGCCAAGCAAGTAACCACCATTTAATTAATCAAGCTAGGTTGCCATCTCGAATTCAATCATCCCTCTACATATACCTCCAACTAACCAATTAAGGGTCAGCCCATCTCACCAATAATCATAAATGTCTCCATGCCTAACAGTAGCGATCTTGTTGGCCATTTGCCGTTTCTCTCTCTCTCTCTCTCTCTCTCTCTCTCTCTCTGGTATTTTTACGGAGAATGCCAATAAGTGGTCAAAGGAATACATTATTGTTGAAATTCAAAATCCAATCCTATATGAATTAAATATCTATCTGTCATATAATTTTTTTTTTTTTTTTTTGTACAAATGGCCTTAGACCCTATTGGGAAGAATTGACAAAAATTAAATTACTTCTAGTGCTCATGGATTATAAACTTTTTTGTTTTTTTGAGAGAGGATAAACATGGATTATCAACTTTGAGATGCAAAATAACTTGATAATAATTCAAATTGTAAATTTCAAAAATGAATTATTTACCAATCACCATTATAACTTGGACGCCGTTTGTAAACAAAACTCTATTTTATTCTAATTCAAATTTTGCCTCAACGAAAAACGTTACTAAATTAGGTCGATATAGAAACTCAAGAAATAAAAACGCACACCTTTAGACGCATAATAGTCTCTCAATTCTTGATCTGAAATTACAAACATGTCTAGAATAAGGCATATGTTCCAATAACACACTGAAATTATATATATCTATTTCTACGTCAACAAACCAAACGATTCACATTTCCGAAATTAAAACATCATGAATTCTAAGTGACATAAACGGTGACGAGGGTCAGGATGCGTTTTACTACTGTTCTTTCTTCCTACCCTCGTGCAAAGAAACAAGAATTTTCTTCAGTTGTTTATTGTAGGCAAAAGGTCGCTCGGATTGAACCAGGTGGCCTGCATTCTCTATGTATTGCAACGTTGCTTTGCCTTCAAGTTGCCTGCAAGAACCACAATTAATTCCAAGTCCCATCACAATAGTATGGTAGCATCTGCGAGAAACATGGGCTTATTTTCTCCAACTACAAATAGTTTAGTCAATAATTAACAAGTAATAAAATATTTTTTTGAAACAGTAAAACATAATATACAAACATATAGAGTCTTAACAGTTGTATATTTTACAATCTTGTTCAATAAAAAATTTTAAAATCTTAACGAGTTTAATTTATTTAGAGTTTAATTTATTTAGTTATTATATAATAAAAAAGAACCACATTTATTTTGCAATTCAAAATCCACAATCTTTCAATGAATAAAAAAGAAAAAAAAATAGTAAAAACAGTTTGTTTGTTGAATTTATTGCTTTAATAGGGTGATGATGACAATTATTTAAATGAATGCCATGAATCCTGATAATGGAATAAACATATATACTCTTTCAAGTTGCGAGCTTCTTCCATGTTGAAAATTACGTCATCTCCTCCCCACAATAGGTGTATTTTCTGCAAAGATAGTAAAACAAAATACTCTCATGATTTTGAGCTAAAACAAAAGCAGAAATAAATAACGAAATCAACTATCAATGGGAATTTAAGTATAACCAACCAAAAAAAGATAGTATTGAAGAAGTTATGGAATTCATCCATTGAAATTTTGAGTAAAAAAAATGTGAAGTTGTATTTTCGATTCAAAATTTTAAACCTTAAACCATTGGTTAGAACATAATGATTTTTTATTATTTTTAACAAGTTAGGAAAAAAAAAAAGGCTTATGAAATTAATAAGGAAGGACAGATGCAATAAATTTAGAGTCGGTGATACATCACTTTGGAACCATGCTTTCCAATTAAAGGAAGGTTGGTACGAATAGTAAATAGAAATAGTAATAACAATAATAATAAAAGAAGTAGCTAGCCATCAACTTGATCATTTTCGTTTATGTGGGGCTAATTATTTAATGACATTCTGATTGAAAATTTTTATAATACACTAAGAGTAACTAGTAACATGTACAATAGTTATTTCATGAGTTCATTTTAAAAAGAGAGATAGACACATAAAAAGAGATATAAATTACATTTATACCTATCAAAAGTGCTAAAAAGATTTCCACGTTTGTTCAAATTTTTTTATTTTCTCTTTCTCTTTTTTTGTATGTTTATCTCTCTCTTCAAAATGGATCAATAGAAGTAACTATTGTACATGTCACTAGTTACTTACAGTGTATTATAAAATTTCTCCATTCCAATCTATATTTAATAAGTTGTAGATAGGGAATGAAGTTAACTAACCCTCCAAATCTCTAATACCTACTTAATAATTTTCCTCAAAGTTGTATGGAACAGATTCTATGCAATAAAGCATTTCTGAGGAGTCGTGGGAATGGGTACCGGAGACAAACAAGCTGGCCCCAAACAGGTCAAATAAATCAGGAAATTTCCAGAACAAAACTAACTAGTGCTTTTCATGTCAGACAATAGAACGTTAACAAAAAAGAAAGAGAAAGAAAAGAACAAGTAACAAATAGTTTTGATCAATACTATTCTGACCTGTGGAAAATGAGGGACAATGAAATCCTTGTCACTAACAACTAATTCATGAAGAAGTTCAAGTCTCTCCTTCCTGTTGTCGAACGTGACCTGCGATTGCACCATTATCAAAACGTTACACACGGCAAAAAGCAATGACGGGAGTCTTGTTTCCATTCTAGATTAACAAGTTAGCTAGACAATTCACTTGGGACTAAAGTTTTAATGCAAACAAGGGGGAAAATGATAAAGCTTGGATTACTAATCTTCCTAGTCTAACAGAAAGAGAGATTGACTAGCTAGGTATAGATACCAATCAAATTGGAAATGATCATATAAAGATTCGACAAATGTATAGCCAAAGCCTTATTGATTGAACACATACTTAGAAAAGCGTACGTACCTCCAAAATGGATTTGTAAACAAAATCTGGCAACCTTGGCAACTTATAAGTTGCAATACGTAACAATTCTTTCACCCCCTGACGGTGTCAGGCATCAAGTATTCTGGCCAAGATGAGAAGCCAATTCTCTCTAGGCCAGCACGACTAATGGATTCGGTCATGACCATAGCAGTGCAACTTACCACCATTGACTCAACCAAGTCAGGGTACATCTCAGCCATCTTGAAACTAACCATCCCTCCATAACTCATCCCAACCAAAGTACACTTCTCTACACCAAGCTTCCTTAAACCCTTAGCAATGCACTCAGCTTGGAAAGCCACTTTCCGGTCAGTTTTATCGGTAACTGACTCTCCAAAGAAGAGTAAATCGGGCACGTAAACTGCATACTCTCTGGCCAAAGCTAGCACTTGAAATTGCCATGTTAGAATCCCATCTAGTTCAAAACCATGAACAAACACCACGGCAGGTTTATTTGGTTTGTTCTTGGTGTTGCTGGTGGTTTGATCATCACTTGGGACCCAAAAGCGCAGTACGGTCCCTGGCTCAATCTCTACTGCCTGAGGCCTCACTCCGACTAGCTTCATTAGGCCACGCAACAATGGCATGTACATTGTCAAAACGTTCACCATCTTTTTTTTTGTTCTGAAAGCTACCAGGGTGTGTACGTGATTAGCTTGCCAGTCCTTTTGTATCCCAATTGAGAAATGATTGGAAGTGGCTACAGAATTTGTGGTGGCATAGAGGTGTGATTTATAGCAATTGCCTTAATAATTCTTCAATATATCAGTAAAAAAATAAATAGATAGATAAATAAAGTTGACGTATCTCCTTTATGATAGATAGAGACGAAATTTTGGTGTGCATAGCATTTATTTGTCACCCAATCGTAAGGTCGACACTTGAACGCTTCCCCTGCCCATGCTAACAAGTAACTGTTCAGCACTTCTTGTTTCATGTCAGTTGACTTCATATTTGCTAGCTAGTTAATGACCAAGTGGACCGATCCAGATTTTATGAATCAGAAGGGCCAATCATCTCCAGAAGAAATTGATTTTTCCTTTTTTCTTCCTTCTCATTGGGGGATGGTCCTTCCTAGCCACCCTTTAAATCCGTCGTTGATTGAAGATCCAATACGTTTTGGACAACATAACAAGGATGCCACCCCATTTTTGAATGAATCTGCAATATTAAAATTTCAGGGGTTTATAAAATTAGGATAATATATATCCCTACATTTATGAAAAGAAATTCATAGAAACTTTTGAAAGTTGGTTCAAAGAGGTTAAAAGTTTTAGATGGCATAAATCAGTGTACCCTTAACTTGAAATCTGGAGCGGCTATAGTATTGGTATAAGCATATTCAATTAAGCACCAACAGATAAGGGTCAGGTCCTAAGAGAAAGGAAGTGAATTCTTGGGTTCATTCACACTGTTGTTATCTAAGAAATTTTTAAAAAACAAAACAAAATTGGCATAAGCAATAAAAATCCTAAACATGATCCATGCTAATATATTTATCAAATCGTAAGTGCGGTATTGATCCGGTATCGCCATTCTTAATTTAAAAATCAATGTCAATACTTATCATATTATACGTATCTCGCATGTTATGTGTTTCCAACTTTCTCGGTCACATGCTAACCGATCGAATTATATATGTAGCAATTCCTGCTGACAGAGAAAATTTTGTTTTGTATTTCAACTGTTAAGTTACAAATTGCTTCCAAATTCTATGTAAGTTGTCTTTTTTGCCCCCTAACACGTTATCCGACACGTTAATTAGGAAAAAACAAAGCCAGTATGCATAAAAGAATTTAGACTAATTATTTCGAATTGGGTAATACTTAGGTATGACCGTATTAGTCTAATGCACGTGACCGATGTGTCAATAACTGATTCTGGTAGATTGGTTCCGTGTTGTTGAAGGTCAGCTTTGATATTGCAAACGATAAAATTAATTGTAATTATAATTAAAAAGTTAAATGTTGAGTTAATCACACTTAAAATGTTAAATATATATTTAGGACGCATTAGATTTTCAATTATTTTTATATAATTAATATTTACTGTGTTAATTTTTTTTTTGTTTTAATATTTTTTAAGAATAAAGTTAGCAATAGATCGAATTAGAGATGAATCTTGCTCCATCCACCTTCAAATCTAAATATCTAAATCTATCACTCTTTTCTAGCTCGAACCTAGTTGGATCGAATCAAGTAGAATATTTTGTCCATCCGATGAGTAACCACTCTGAGTTTTACTTTTTTTTAAAATCAATTTTGGAAAAATAAAATTTAAGTTTTGAAAACAAACTACATCCTCGCCTATGAATCATAAAGCCATAAATTATAATATAAAGTTCAAATCAATGCAGGGAAATCAAAAAAATCTTTCATGAATCATAAGATAAAAATTCATGCATTTAAAAAAAAAATTACAGCTTCTTAAATTAAAAAAATTAAAAAACTGAATTGGGAGCGGGTCGAATCGAGTGACGGGGTAGGTGAGGGATTCGATCGCGTGAAATTATATATCATCCCCATTCAAGAGATATACATATTGAAACATACAAATAGAAAAAAATGCACATACCTATACATCATTAGATATTAAAATATTTTTCACATTTTTATTAATAATGGCTTGACTGAAACATTATGGGGGGTGTAAATAAAAATTTAATCCAGTTCATGTACTATAAATAAAATTTTTAAAAACTTAAGGGATCTAAAGATAGGTTGACTTGGTATTTGATACATTTTCATTGTTTTTTTTTTTCATCGGTTTACACTTAACAAAAAGTATATAATATACATCCTAATATAAAGCTTATTACACAATCTTTCAATTTTTTTTTAAGCAAAAATAATTAATGACGAAAACATGGGAAGAATTTCTTACGCAATGGTTTTGGTTGAAAAAAAGCCATTAATTTCTCTCCACTAATGCCAAAATATTACATTCTTTCCATTTAATAAAAAAATAAATACATATGTTTTTATAATATTAAAATATTATGCACACATGGCAATCAATTATTGATTTAATTGGCATAAAAAATAAATATTGCATCACCATTCCACTTGACAATCTAACATAACTCCCTAGTTACTTCTTTCATTTTTAGTATATACTAGACAAATCTCTCAAGGGTTCCATCAGCAAGATAAAAATTAACGTTTACATAATTAAAAACATATAGACTTAAACAATAAGGTAATAATCCATTGATAAGTAAGTATAGACTTATAGGTTATATTCAGGATTCGATCTTTATGATCGATACATTTGAGAATTTATTTTTAAAATATTCGAGATTGTGTATTAGAGAATGCCCTTTTGCCACATTCGAAAAAGAATTAGTCCGGAGATGCCTAAAAACTGGTTTGAACACACCTTTGTTGCTCAAAAAAACATATAGATTTAATTCAACAAAATAAAATATGAAAATGAATTAAAAATACTATTTGTAATTAAAAAATGGATTATCAAAAGAAAAAATTAAATAAATTGAGTATTAAATAAAATTTACAAAAAGATAAAAGGAAAATAAATAGAAATACAAGCAATAAACATGTGTATATAAATAGTGACCAATTTGTATTTCTTAATATTAAAGTTTTATTAAATTTGTTATAGGAGTTTATGTTTAATAATATATGATATTTGTGTAATTGATTTAATTTATAATGGAGTACTAATTTAATTATAAAAAAAATCAGTCAACTATCACACATGACAACACTAAAATCAAGATAAATATCTAAAAAAATTTAAGGAAAAAATTTCCGTCAAAATCCTCGTGATATATATATAGACAGTAGATTTTGTTTTGCAAGAAGAGGAAATGGGTGGAAAACAGAGTGACACCTAAAAAGCTTATAAAACGCACGTTTCCCATTCAATTCTCTTGCAGATTTAGCCCAACCACCCAACCAACCCCTCTTTCATTTTCAATGTTATTGTATATTACCATATATGGGATGCGTCCACCAAAAGAAGCGAGTCAGGACATGAGATCGGTTGATATGTTTTTATGATTTGTGTATTTTTCATTGTAAGTACAGATGGAGTAAAAGAAGGATTGTGATATTATATATCCCAATACCTATTGAACCTTCTAACAAAAAAAGAAAAACCATACTAAATTAACATTCTAATTTACATTCCCTCTAGGTCTTCACTGCTTGATCAAGTTTTGTGATTTGATCTTATAATATATATAGAAATCCATGATCGATTGTTAAAGTATTAAAAAATATTAAATGTATTTTAATATAAGGAGTTAATGACATGTATGGTCCCGATAATTAAGGACACCTTACAGCTGGCTCATCACTGCACGAAAGCGTTGAAAATTAGTTTTTAAAAGCTACAATCTTCCTGAAGATGTCACAATCTGTTAGATATAATTTATTGCTAAAAAAACAAAGCAAATCAAGACTAGCAAAGGGTAAGTCATTTGGCCGATAAGCGAAAGGTCAAAGTTCAATCAAGTAAAGATTTAAGTATTGTTAATGTATGAGTGGAGGAGTTTTCGGATAAAGAGTTAAAAGATTTTATTTGTTAGATATAAAATGTTCTCGAGTTAAAAGTTATGCTCTCATCACAGTAAAGTGTGACTAATATCTAAAGTGAAAGAAAATGATTCCTGATCTATAGGATTATATCATGCCATTTAAGTTTGGAATATTGAATTTATTTTATAGAATTTAAGTTTTTTAAGTTAAATTGTTTTAACTTGTTAGTAAAAATTAAAATAGTAACAATTTGATCTTTTCTTAAAAGACCTTTCTTCGAATCCACTAAGCTAATTTTTTTAATACATTATAATGATGATATGGATGTTTATCGTGATGTAATACTCGTGTCAATTCTTACTACTCAATATCTTAGATTGAGTTATAATCGTTCTTAATTCAATCTATTTATCATACAATTTGAATCCATATAAAAAAAAGATTAATACAAAATAAAAATGAGCTAAATTAATTAATTAATAAACACTGTAAAATAAGTCAACCCCTAAATGGTGCCTATGTGGAGGAAAACATTTTAACTTGAAAAAAGATAGACTTGCTATGGTTACTTCAAAGCGATGTAATTACAACATCTTTCAAATTTACAAAATAATAAGACAAGATTTACAATGCAACAAGTGCAAATACTTATTACCTTATAATCACTTAAAAATTATTTCTTAAAAACTTAAATAATTTTTTTTAGGTAATAAGAAACCTTTTTTTATTGAAATTATACATAATTTTTAAATTATCATTCTTACGAAGCAATTAACTAAATTATGCGAGAGATAATATATTATTTTTTGCGATTCATTTATTTAATGGTTTGTAATCACTTATTTATTAAAAAGTAGATAATATTTTTTTTCAAAATTAACAATACACTTTTTGAATCATATTTATACAATATTATTAGCAAATAACATAATTACAGGATAATTGGTTAAATTATGAAACAATAAGGTAAATTATTAAGATACAATAAATAAAAATAGTTAGTAGTTTGTAAATTTAAGACACTATAATAATATACCAACTTATAATATTCTCTAACATTATAACTTTAACTACTTCCACAAATACTATCATTTTATTACTAAGATAACTACTATTTTATCAATATTCTACCATAACTCTTCACCACCACCACCACCACCACCACCATAAGAGCAATTCCCTCCTATTCACCACCGACACCACTTGTCATCACCATTTGTTTGTCCTTGCAACTACCAAAAGAAGGGAGTAAGGACATGGTATGTTTTTATGGTTTGTGACATTACATATCCCAATAATAGAAGTTGATTAGACGTTGCTTCTTTACCCTTGAGGTTTAGTAGCCGGGACTTACGAGGCATCAATCATTGTTTGTATTGTTTTTTAAAGTTCAAATTTTGGAGGAGAACATAAGAAAATGATTTTCTTGCAAATGATTTACTTAAAACTCGACTAAGTGAAATGGTTTGTTAGATACATAAAAAGCGGCTCCAGACTAATTTATTGCTAAAAAAACAAAACAAATCAAGACTAGCAAGGCGTAAGTTACTTTGCTAATAAACGGGAAGTCAAGTTCAAAAAAGTGAAAGTTTACGCATTATTAGCATGTGAGTGGTAGAATTTTAGGTTAAGAGTTCAATAATTTTACTTATTAGAGATAGAAAGTTTTGAAATCAAAAGTTTTTGATCTTATCACAATTATATGAGACTCGATATTTATAATTTAAAAAAATAACTTTTGGCCTCTAAGCTAATGTCATATCATCCAATTCCGAATGATCATATTTATCTAGTATGATTTAAGTTTTTAGGGTTAAATTATTTTAACTTGTTACTAAAGGTTAAAAAAATTAATAATTTTATTTTTCTCAAGCGGACCTTGTTCCGAATCCATTAAGTCAATCTTTCTAATGCATTTCAATTATGATATGGACATTAGTTCTGCTAGAATACCTATGTATATTCTTACTATTCAAAATCTTGTGTTGAATTAGGTTTGTTCTTAGTTCAATATATTTGTCGTACATTTTGAACCCATGTGAAAATAAAAATAAAATAGATTAATATAAAATAAAAATGAGCTAAATTATATATATACATGATCCATTATTAAAATATTAAAATGTATTTTAATACAAGGAGTTAATGACATGTATGGTCGTCGTAATTAACGAAGGATACCTTACAACTAATGCATCATGAGAAATTTTATAATATATCGTGAGTAACTAATGACATATACAGTAGCTATTCCATGACCTACTTTGAGGAGAGAGAGAGAGAGATGGATACAAAAAAAGAAAGAAATTACATTCATACCCATCAAAAGTGATAAGAAGATTTTCACATTCGTTTAAATTTTTTTATTTTCTCTCTCCGTTTCTCTTTCTTTTTTGTATCTATCTCTCTCCTTAAAGTGAGCTCATAGAATAACTATTGTATACGATACTAATTCCTTATGATGTATTATAAAATTTCTCGTGCATCACTGTAGGAAAGCGTTGAAAATTATTTTTAAAGTTCGAATCTTCTTGAAGTTGTCACAATCTCGACCGGAAGGTAATATACTAAATAATACAAGAGGTTTTATACCTTTGAGATTTATTAGCCGGTACTTAAAAGACGTCAATAATTGTTTGCATTGTTTTTTACTGTTCAAATTTTAAAGAAGAACATAAGAAAATGATTTTCGTGCAAATGGTTTATAAGTAAAATGGTTTGATAAATACATAAAAATGGGCTTGAGAATAATTTATTGCTAAAAAATCAAATCAAAACAATTTAAGTTACAAACCCTATTAGAACATTATCTCTTATCCACATACATTTGGTTGTGACCCATCCATTGAACCAATTCATGATTGAAACTTTATTATATTTTTGTGGATATAAATCTGAAAAACCAATAATTGAACTGGTACTTAAGAATTGATGGGAGTGAGCCTCCTCTTTAATATCCCAATCACTTCTTTGGAAGCTATTAATTGAATAACTTTAATAAATGCAAGAGTAATGTTTTGTTTATATTTAATATCTTATGTGTCGGAGAACATATCATACATTAAATAAATAAATAATTAATGAGTAATATATAAAGTTAAAAATGGATAACTCATTATAAAACTTCATTTTTTTTTATAAAATTTAATCTCAATCACCAAATTCTATACAGTTTCAGAATTTTAAAAAGACTCAACAAACTAATAAAGATTTTGAAACTTAAACTACTTGACAGAATTCAAAAAATAAAATACAAGTGAAGAAAATGTTAGAAAGCATATTTTACATTAAATACATAAATAATTAACAAATAACACATATAAAGTTTATAATGAGTTATCCATCATAATAATTAAATGTTTTGAATATAATCATAGTATTGGATTTATTTATCGTTTGCACACACATAGCCGACAGTGTGATGCAACAATCAAACATGGCACAATAATTCTATAAATTGGTGAGAGGAGACGAGATGAGATTTCATTTGATTTGAAGAGACCGGCCGGTCTTATGATAACAGGAAAAAAAATTGTATTTAGAAATTAAAATTCACCACACAACTTATTGAGCACGAGTACTTATGAATTATGATCGAACTGAAGTCAAATTAACAAATACAAACAACAATGGTCAAGATTTGATAGAGAAGGAGTTCCATTAATTTTCCTGGCCTTCTACATACAAAGAGGCAAGAATATTCTTGAGTTGCCTATTGTAGACAAAGGGTCGCTCCAATTCCACCACGTGACCTGCTCTCTCTATGCAGTGCAACGTTGCTTTGCCTTCTAACAGCCTGCAGTCACAGTTACAAAGCCCGTCACAACAAATATTGCTAATGTGGTGAGCAACGTAAAACCTAATTAAATCTATTTACTCGGATATATAGGAATGATTCATATAATTATTAATTAGGGTAAAGGTAATGCTTTTTTTGGAAAAATGTAGTGTACGTGCTCTAAGGTAACCTTACTTCTACGATTTGGAAATGTCATTGCCGAATGATGTGAGAAACAAAAAACAAAAACGCCTTATTGACATTTTATGGAAAGGCATTCTAAAAGCAAATCATAGCGATTAATTATTAAGCGTCAAATTCACAATCTAATGAAAAGGAGTTAAATCACTAAATAAGAGGATCAGTAGTCAATAAATTAATTGAAAATGACATCACCATGCATTAACATTCATGTATAGACGTGGTAAAAAGACAAATATTTGTCCTTAATTGAGTAGTTCTATCTATAGCTATACCAATGGGTTGATGACAATCAATATAATTAATTAATTAAATATATTGCTGGAGGAATAGACGTACTCTATCAAGTCGCGAACTTCTTCCATGTCGAAAATTATGTCATCCCCTCCCCACAAGAGATGAATCCGCTGCAATTGGAATCATAAATAAAGATGAAAAGTCTCTTGCTAATTATATTTATTTTATTGAAGTGAGATGGATATAAAAATAAGAAAGAAAATGACATCAAAATGTAAAAAAGATGATAAAAATATTTTAATTTAATCTCATTTTTTTTAAAAAAATTTCTCCTTTTTTTTGTGTTTATTTCTTTTTTATAAAGTAAATATTGATAGTTAGTAGTTAAGTATCATTAAATTTCTCCCTATCTATAGGCAATATTGTATGCCATTGGTTACTAGTTAATCCCCTTAAATTGGACTAGGAAGTTGAGTAAGTAATAATAATCTTAATGTTAATTCCTTCCTGATCACCTGTGTAAAATGAGGGACAGTGAAGTCCTTGTCCTTCACAATTAACGCCTCCAAAAGTTCATGTCTCTCCTTCCTGTGGTCAAAGTATAAGGCCTGCCACCAATGTCAAAATTCAAAAAGTTAATAAGATGCACAAACCAATTACTTACGTTAATTAATATATATATATATATATATATATATATATATATATATATATATATATATATATATATATATATATAGGAATTATTCTTCTCATTTATTAAGTCAATTCCAATACTACTTTGCCAATGGTTGCTTGCAAGGACAAGATTTGATAGCTTAATTAGCCAATGAAGCTTACCTCTAAAATGTCTTTGTAGACAAAATCAGGCACCCACGGCAACTTGTAGAAAGCAATGTCTAGCAGTTTCTTCACACCCTTGACAGTTTCAGGTATCAAATATTCTGACCATGATGAGAAGCCGATTCTTTGTTGGCCAGCACGAGTAATGGACTCTGTCAAGGCCATCACTGAACAAGTTATCACCATTGACTCAACCAAATTAGGGAACATCTGAGCCATCTTGAACCCAACCATCCCTCCATAGCTCAATCCAACCAAGGTGCACTTCTCCACGCCAAGCTTCCCTAGACCCTTAGCCATGCATTCTGCTTGAAAAGCCGGTGACCGTTCGGTTTTATCCGTGATTGAATCTCCAAAAAAGAGGAAATCAGGAACATAAACTGCATACTTCTTGGCCAAAGCGAGCACCTGAAATTGCCATGTCAGAATCCCATCAAAACCAAAACCATGAAGAAACACAACAGCAGGTCTATTTTTGGCAGTGGTTTCGTTCGGGAGCCAGAAATTGATGACTGTCCCTGGCTCGATCTCTACTGCTTGGGGTCTCACCCCAGCTAGCTTCATTAGGCCATGCAACAAGGGTTTGTACAATGACAAAGTGTTCACCATCTCTCCCTCTCTAGAAATGAAGGCTCTTGCTCCTATGAACTACAACGAGAAAAGTTGTGATATCTATAATTGCCTCGATGACTTAATCTCAGGAATCGGGGCTTCTTAGGAAGGTATAAGTAGTAGTTTGCAAGTTTGACTTTAACTAGAAGGCATGTCTCCTCTCTCCTCGTCTTCCTACTTAACCTTCAAAATATCAAGAAAATTCTAACAGTCTACTTTAAAAAATAACGACTGCTTTTTCAGGTTTTTTTTTTTTTAATAGGAAGCTAGGAGAAATATTAATTCTAAATTTTTAAAATTATTCACCTCTTCATACTTCATCTGCTAAATTAAACTATTAAATCCAGAACATGTATCTTACCATACTTGTATTTAGATAAAAATTAAAGTGCTTTCATATATAAAAGGAGAATGAAACGTAGAGTTACGATCGGCTAGATCCTATGTTTTACCTATTGAATTTAGGCTTCCTTAGCAGGATGAACTAGCTAGCGGTCATCCACTGAATTATCATGTATAGCTTACTATGATGATTCATATGATATGCCAAGTTGCTAGTGAGATAGATATTTTTAATTCTCTTGCACCCATTAATTTATTATGCAGATTTGAAGTTAAGTAGTGCACAACATGAAGAGCAATAAGTATAATCATCGAAGAAGTTTATTTTCTCATTTAATATTATGAGTTTGAAGTTCAAGGTAACATTTATAAGAATTTATTTTGTGTAAATACATTATACCTATATAACGAGTTCAGTCAAAGGGTCTAATCTTGGAGAAATTGCTTGTTCAAAAAAATTAAGCGAAACAGCATAATAACTTGAAAATTACCGGGAAGGGAAAGGCCAACTATTTGTGAAGCATCGCTCTCCTCAAAATCTTTAATTATGTCGGCCCAAATGATAATTAGCCGTGGCGGATCACCATCTAGGATAATATCGCTAATTAAAAAAGAAATTTTTTTGGCATCAATTGATTTAAAAATAAAGGTCAATGCTCGTCAGATCGTATTCATACATACCTCACATGCATGTTTCTTCTTTTTTTGTGTTAAGATTATGCAATCGTTGAATCACTTCGTGGGATCTTGATCCCACATTAACAGATACACAAAATGCGTCACTGTGGATTTGAAAAAAAGATTAATCTCCTACTCTTCCACCACCATGACTCGTGCCCGACAAGAATTGGCAAAAAAAATTGTTCATCTTTGAAAATTTCGTTGGAGTAATTCATTATGCCAGATCAACAAATTAAATCACAAAGATTATGTACCAGTTGACAATAACATCAATATATATAGGTCTTGAAGTCTTGAATTTAATAAGGTGTTCCTTGACACGTCGTTTGCACGTAATTATTTAACTAATATATACGTGTGTGTTTATTCTATCTGATAGATAGAGAAGGGACCCCAAGCTTTCTATTCTAAGTTTATCAATCAGTATGAAAGAATACAAACTTAAATATTCCCTTACATCAATTTTTTTATCCACCACTAGACTGAAAAAAAAATCGATTTTTTTCGATCTACATATTTATTTAATTTTAAATTATTAATGGTTTAATCTGAATCTAAATATGAAATTTATCTCTTTTATAATGATAAAATGGAGTTCTTTAATTAGATAGGGTTTTTTTTAATTAAATTATATATATTAAAATTTTTAATTGATTATTTAGAATTATTTATAAATGAATAAAATTTATTTTTTATAAAATAAATATATTTGATTTCAATATATATATATGCGATAAAATGTCATATTGATGAACCGAATTAGGTCAGCACGAGTAGTGGACTCTGTCAAGGCCATAACTGAACAAGTTATCACCATTGACTCAACCAAATTAGGGAACATCTCAGCCATCATGAACCCAACCATCCCTCCACAGCTCAATCCAACCAAGGTGTACTTCTCCACGCCAAGCTTCCTTAGACCCTTAGCCATGCATTCTGCTTGAAAAGCAGGTGACCGTTCAGTTTTATCCGTGATTGAATCTCCAAAAAAGAGGAAATCAGGAACATAAACTGCATACTTCTTGGCCAAAGCGAGCACCTGAAATTGCCATGTCAGAATCCCATCAAAACCAAAACCATGAAGAAACACAACAGCAGGTCTATTCTTGGTAGTGGTTTCATTCGGGAGCCAGAAATTGATGACTGTCCCTGGCTCGATCTCTACTGCTTGGGCTCTCACCACAGCTAGCTTAATTAGGCCATGCAACAAGGGTTTGTACAACGACAAAGTGTTCACCATCTCTCCCTCCCTAGAAATATAGGCTCTTACTTCTATGAACTACAACAAGAAGAGTTGTGATATTCATAATTGCCTCGATGGCTTAATCTCTGGAATCAGGGCTTCTTAGGAAGGTAAAAGTAGTAGTTTACAAGTTTGACTTTAACGAGAAGGCATGTCTCCTCTCTCCTCGTCTTCCTACGTAACCTTCAAAATATCAAGAAAATTCTACCAGTCTACTTTCAAAAATAACGACTGCTTTTTCAGGTTTTTTTGGGTAATAAATGGAAGCTAGGAGAAATAATAATTCTAAAATTTTTAAATTATTCACCGCTTCAGACTTCATCTGCTTAATTAAACTATTAAATCCAGAACACATATCTTACCATACTTGTATTAAGATAAAAATTAAAGTGCTTTCATATATAAAAGGAGAATGAAACGCAGAGTTACCATCGACTAGATACTATATTTTACCTATTGAGTTTAGGCTTCCTTAGCAATATGAACTAGCTAGCGTTCAGCCACTGAATTATCATGTATAGCTTACTATGATGATTCATATAATTAGGCATCATAAAGGAAGGGTACCGGCTATTTAATTCAATTTTTTATTCTATCTATAAAAAAAATATTATATCCATTAAAAAATCATCATATAATTTTTTATCCAATTTATATTCTCCTCATATTAATTTATAAGCTCATTTAATATTTATTAAATACCCGCTAAATTTAATTTTTAAAAATATTCATTTTAGTTTTTATAATTTTTAAGAAAATTTTTTATACTTTTTTTTCATTTATTTATAATTTTTTTGGTCCTCAAAGTTTTTGAAAAAAATATTTTGATCCTTAATTTTTAAATTTTATGCAATTAGATCCCTATATGTTAATAAAAAATATAAATAAATTAGTGGATATTAATAGAGTAAAGAGAGTAAAGAGTGAGTATCCATATTTTAAAATCATATTAGTGGGTATGTTTTTTTATCCTTACCCAATTCAATACTCATTTGACATTTTTAATGAATAATTATTAGATCAGATAAAATAGATATCCATTTTATATTTGGCTTGTTGCCATCCCTACATATAATATGCCAAGTTGCTGGTGAGATAAGTATTTTTAATTCTTTTGCACCCATTAGTTTAATAAGCAATTATGCAAATTTGAAGTTAAGTAGCATACAACATGAAGAGAAATAAGTATAATCATCAAAGAAGTCTATTTTCTCATTTAATATTATGAGTTTGAACTTCAATTTAATATTTATGAGAATTTATTTTGTGCAAATACATTATACCCATATAAAGATCTAGTTCATCCAGGGGGTCTAATCTTGATTGATTGTTTAAAAAAATTAAATCAAACAATGTCACTACACGACGTCGGACGAGACCCCCAAAGAAAATTAATATTCAATTTAATATTTATGAGAAATTGTTTTGTGCAAATACATTATACCCATATAAAGATCTAGTTCAGCCGGGGGTCTAATCTTCATTGATTGTTTAAAAAAATTAAATCAAACAATGTCGCTACACAATGTCGGACGGGACCCCTCAAAGAAAATTAATATCGGAGCGTTAATTATTTACAAAATTATTTACAGAGTTTTGGAGTCACCACTTAGTATTTAAGGAACTAGGAACCTAAAAGTAGCACTAGTTCGGAGATTCCTAGGGTAAGGAGTTGGTTACGCTTTTAGGAAGATGTTTAATCACCTAAAAGCGCCTTTTTCAAAAAAAGGTATCATGTATGGTTTAATTCTAAATTCATCTCCTAAAATTCCATATCAAACTATTTTCTAATTTTAAACTCCTATTTTTTTTAAAAAAAATAATTTTTAGTTTGGGCGTGGCATCGTATTGAAACGATCGTCGGTCCTCTTTGTCGGATGACACGTCGATTCAAACATCGGATCTACTAAAAGCCTTGATGCAACGGACGTGTCGGAGGATGTCTTAATTAAAAGGTGATTTTTGGTGACGTCGCCCCTATCAAATAGGAGACTTCGTCAAAAATTTTGAATTTGGTGACGTCGGTCCCTATTAGATAGGAGACTTCATCAATTTATTTATTTATTATTATGTTATTTTTTGGTGGCGTCGATCCCTACCAAGTAGGAGGATTCGTCAAAATTTTTAGGCATTTTTTTATGATGTCGATCCTTATCGGATAGGAGACTTCGTCAAGATTTTTTTTTATTTTTCTAGCAATACATATTAAAGAAAAGAAAAAAACAAAAAAAAATTGAAATAACAATTCTAAATTAATATATAAAAAACGACAAGAAATAAAAATAAACGAGCTAAAAAAAATTAAATGAATAATTAAAGGAAAAGATAAAAACAAAATAAAAAAATTATCCTATACCTAAACCATTAACCCACAACTTTTACCTTTTTTTTTTTTACCCGTCCCCTTTTTTTTTCCTTTTTCCTTCTTATTTTTTTCTTCCCTAATTCTATTTTTTCATTTTTTTATTCCCTTTTTTTTTTTTGTGAGGGACACGAGCTAAGCTCGAATTCCAGCCTCGACCCTCTTTTTTATTTGGTGTAAAGATCGATCCGACCAATGCGTTTTTTTTTTTTTTTTTTGGAAAAAGGGCGATGGGTCGGATCGAAAGGAAGTCCAGCCCCATTTGTTTCTCTTTTTATTTTCGCGGGTCGGGCCGGACCTCAAGCCCAAAAACAAGTCCACTTGTTTTTGTTTTTTATTTTTCGGATCAAAAATCGAAATTTCAAGTTCTTAACTCTTTCTCTCTCCTTTTATTCATGTTCTTCACTTTCTCTCCCTAGTTCTTCAAATTTATTTCGGAATTTAAGGACTCCCTTTCAAGCAACAAACTCAATCATACACATCATAATTCAAGGCGGGAAATAAATAGCAAGCAAACATCCGGAATTAAAGCGAACAACGAAATCAAAAATCGGGAATCAAATTCGAGGCCGACTCGGAAAATGTCCGAAGAACACCAAGAATGAACCTAGAAACGCAGAACAAAACCCAAAAATGCAACACCAAGAATGCTAGTTTCTCACGAATTTCTTGAAATCTTACTCTCGATTTCCTTTCCTCCACCCTAGCGAACCAAATCCTTCTTAAATCAAGGTTAGGGATGCTTCAAACCGGCTTGGGGTTGAAGAACACAAACCCGTAACTATGAACACCTTCAACCCAAAACCCAAAAAACTAAACTCGTTAAAAATCAAAAATCAAGCTTTTGTTTCTTTTTTTGCTTGCATTTTCCTCTCTCTCAATCTATAATTCCTCTCCCAATTTTCTTCCTCTTTTTCCGTGAAATTCAAAACGTTTTATAGCACAAAATTTTCTAAAATTTCTCTTAGAATCGAATCTCAAATCCCGAATTTTTTTATCAAAATTTTCCTCTTTAATTCATGATTAATGTGAAATCAAAACGTAAAATTTGGTCATTGCTTCTCGTTAGTGTTGATTTTGGCAACAAATCCATGATTAATGGACAATCAAAAACAAGAAATTCATGGAGGATTTAGGCGATTCTCCTAAAGCTTTTCGGAGAGAATTTGCATTGGAGCGAACGATAGGTCGTCTTCTCCATTTCGGTCCTATTGTTTGCTCCAAACTTTCGGCTTGGTCCTCGCGTTTCAATTTTAGCAATTACACCCTCTCGCGGAATAATTTCAGTCTTTAAGATGTGCAATCTTATCAATTGGATCCCCGTAAAAAGCGATTTAGGTTCTAAATTCTTCAATTGGTTCAATTATACTCCTAACTACTTCAATTGTGTCCCTAAATGGAAATTTTTATGTTTTTCATCATTTTCCTTTCCTTTTGTCTTTTTTTTAGTAAAATTCAAATTAAATAAAAAACAAAAATAAAATCAAAATCAAAATAAAATAGAAAAATCAAAATCAAAATAAAAAATAAAAAAGGTAAATTTTGGGTTATTATAAACAACATAATAACTTGAAAATTAACGAGAAAGGAAAAGCCAACTATTTGTGAAGCATCTCCTTAAAATCTTAATTTAATTATGTCGGCCCAAATGATAATTAGTCATGGCGTATCACCTTCTAGGATAATATCGCTAATTAAAAAAGATTTTTGTTTGCATGAATTGATTTAAAAATAAAGGTCAATCAATGCTAGTCGATTGTATTCATCCGTACTTCACATGCATGTTTCTTCTTTTTTGTGCTAAGATTATGCAATCATTGAAATATTTGGTGGGATCTTGATCCCACGTTAATAGAGACTCAAAATGCGTCATCATGGATTTGGAAAAAGACTAATATCCTACTCTTCCATCTAGGAATGGCAACGCGACCCGCCTCATTGGAGTCCCATCGTGCTCGCCTCGTTTGGGGTGGGCATTCCTTGCGTTGATTGAGGAGTTGGGCGAGGTGCCCCGTCCCATGTTTATTTTCAACGAAGGTGGTATTTGCTCACCCCGTCCCATTTTCTCCATTCCATAATTATCTAGTTAGGGTTTAATTTGACAATTACGATTTACACGTACACCGAGACACGGTTGCACTTCATCGTCCCCGCCTCTCTAGTTCTCTTCGTTGTTCTCCTTCGGTCTCTCTTACCGGTGACTACCTACCACCACAACCCGCATGCCATTGTGACACCACCACCATAGTCCGAGTAGCCCACCGTAACGTTAAGTCGCCAACCACCATAGTCCTCTCTCGTTAGTGTCACCCACCGACCACTGACCACTGGGTAATTATACATAGTATAATGTAAGTAGAAATACTTTGAACATGAAAATAACTATATCCGATTTAGTGTCTCTCTTCTTTAGCCTACATTAACAAAATGAAAAATCGGAGAAAATTAAGGCAAATTAAGTACTATCCACCAAATTTCGATTTGGGCTATCGAAGTCTTAAAGGAAGAACTCCCCAAAACGCAATTGATTCTAGACAAAGATCTTGAGCAAACAAGCAACTAACCGAAACAACGGATTGGATTGGATTGAATTGAATTGTATTCTATTCTATTCATCAATCACCAAGTCAAAGTC